AGTGGAGGTGCTAGACTCACCAGTGGAGGTGCTAGACTCACCAGTGGAGGTGCTAGATTCACCGGTGGAGGTGCTAGACTCATTAGTGGAGGTGCTACTAGACTCACCAGTGGAGGTGCTAGACTCACCAGTGGAGGTGCTAGATTCACCGGTGGAAGTAGTGCTAGTGCTGCTGAGCTGAGCCGTGTTCGTGGAATAGGACGAAGTGCTGGTAGGAAGATTAGTAGAGCTGCTCAGCTCAGGGGAGCTACTTGAGCTAAGGAACAGAGTAGAGGAGCTGCTGAGATTGGTAGAACTGCTGAGGCCGATTGAACTGCTAATTTCAGTGGAGCTGCTGAAATCAGTGCAACTGCTTAAATCAGCAGAACTAGTGGAGCCGGTGGAGCTAGTGAGATTAGTAGAACTGCTCAGGTCGTTGGGACTGCTCAAATCGGTGGAGCTGCTTAGGTCAGTGGAGCTGCTGAGATCGGTGGAGCTGTTCGAATCGGTGGAGCTGCTCGAATCGGTGGAGCTATGAAGACTAGTAGAAGTAGTGTCGGAGGAGCGGGCCGTGTCGCTTGAGGAGGTGGTAGACGGGTTGCCCAGGAAACTGTTTGAGGCGGGTTCTTCGATGGTAGAAGACTCGAGAATTGTCGCAGTGGTAGCAGACGTCTCTGTGGGGCCGGAGTCTGACGTTGAAGTGTCGTGTGTCTGTGCAGAGAACAAGATGTCCGGTACAGCTTGGGTGACGGTGGACTCGTCAGAAGTATTCGACAAGTATGAAGAAGACGACGCTGCTTGGTCTGAAGCAGTATGGTCTGAGGCAGTATGCCCTGAAGCAGTATGGTCTGTAGCGGTGTGGTCATCTTCGTCTTGACGGAACAGGTCTTTGAGATCAAAGCCCTTAAGGCGCATGGGGAGTCGGAAGGCGGGATCTGGGTTCGGTCTCCGGGTCGTGGCCCTCAGCGGTTGGGCATCGTAGTCGGGGGTGGCGTAGGGGTGGTTTGTGGAGGGGGCGGGAGTTGTCCGAGCGGGACCGCGGAGGTAGTAGACCTCGAGCGGATCTTCGTAGAGTACGCCGTGGGGCACGCCCCAGGCCTCGAGGTCCCACGGCTCCATTCCCAGTTCTTCTTGGACCAGGGCCGGGCCCGTACTGGTCTCCTCAAGGCCCTCATACAGCCATAGTCGTGCCCAGTCCTCCAAATCCTCATCTGCCAGTCGCACACCCAGTCCCAGCGTCGTAAACGACGGTCGTCCGCTGGGCCGGACTGAAGACAGACCGTCCGACTGGGTGGTAGCCGTTGGTGGGCGATTCGTTAGGTCTGCGCTGGCCTGATAGCTGCTAGACGACTTGGTTGAAGCACTAGCCATCGCCTCCGTGGTCGAGAGACCTACCGCCGCAACACCCTCGCTAGTAGACGGCTGCAGGGCGGTGCTTCTGGTAGACGTTTGGAGCCCGGTGGTAGCACCCGTATCCGACGACGGCTGGATGCCAGTGGGGAACGTGTGTCCCCCGTCGACAGTCATCGAGCCCGTCTCGAACAGAGAGGATTCTGCCGACGTTTCTCTCATGTCTGTCTCTCCCCTGTCTACCTTGTAGACATGTGTCTTGTTCGCTTCTGTCTTATTAGCTTCCTTCTTGCTGGTCTCCAGCATGTTACTTGTCTCCTGCTTGCTACTGGTCTCCAGCTGGCTGGCTGACTTGGTGTGGAGCAAATCCTCGGCATCCCGGACAGCTGTCGGTCTGGTTGTTGCGGAGTCGGTCTCGAGTGTTAACCATTCGGGTGTGAGCCACTCGGGTGTCCTCGGCGGTGTTAACGGCTCGCCCGGCGCCGTCGGGCCAGCGACGTCGACTGGGTGCCAGCCGCGTGGCCACTCTACCAAGTGGGTTGACCAGAGTCTCGATAAGTCGGCGTCCTGGTCCCACCGTCCAGAGTCCGGAGCCGGCCGATTGTTTCGGGACGCACGACCTGAAGGCCTACCGCCTCCTGAAGGTGTCCCACCGCCCGTGGGTACCCCGAACCGGCTCGTGGGTACCCCGAACCGGCTCGTGGGTACCCCAAACCGGCTCGTGGAAGGCGGCTCTGCTCGGTAGCCATAGTTGAGGTTGAAGTCGTTCAGGGCGTTAATGAACGAGCCATCCGACCAGGGTTTGCGGGCGCGCGAATGTAATTCTTCATTAATCGTGTCGCTGATGTCGAATCCCGCCACCGGCACGCTCTGTAAACGCCGTTCTCTCGCCAAACTAGCACGCTCCAGGTCTCGTACCAGAATAGCTGGGAGCATGTCTTCGATTAGGTAAGCCAATCTCATCTCAGTACTCTAGCAAGTGATCTATTACTATCGGCAGTAACCACCTAGCCTCTTCGAGGTCTATCCCAGCTCAGCAATCCCAGCTCAGTACGTGGGGTCAACAAGTATATCCTAACGGTATATCCCACAAGCAGCAGTTTATCCCAGTGGTTGGTTGGTTCCCTGAGGAAGTTTAGAAAAAGCTATTAAGCTTGGGTTCATCGAGCCCCAAGCCGTCATCCGGTCGGTACCCTTTTTTAGGGACGAGGGGTGTGGGATCAAGGCTCTGAGTGTCGAGACTGCGACCAGCAAAAGGCGTACATACCTGCCCTTCATTCCAGCCCTTCCCGAGCACGAGATTGCCCAGATGATCCGGAGGAGAACGTCTAGCGGGGTAGGTGAGACGCACGGGCGAAGAGACCACTAGAGGGGATTTGTGTACTCGCGACCATTTCCGTTCCAGCGTCAACAAACGGTCCAGCCGCCCGTCCGGCGGTGCTGGCGATGTGGAGGACCCCAACGGAGAATTTGTCAGGCCCAGGGGCGCCGCCGACACGGAAGAGAAAGACCAAACCGAAGAGGAAGGCCAAACCGAAGCGGAACGCCAAACGGAAGAGGAAGGATCCTCACCTAGTCCAGGATCCTCACTTTGTCCAGGATCCTCACCTTGCCCAGAGTTCTCATCCTGTTCGGGGTTTGCAGTCCGATTCAGAGCCAGACACTCGTTCCGTTCAAGGGCGATGCTTTCCGGACTCTGCACCTCTGGACTGTAGCCGAAACGTGGAGCGCCTCCTCCGCGCCGTGCGGCTCGGGAAGGCGAGAGCGATGTCTGCGACGGCGACGGCGGTTGACCGCCAGTACAATCTCGTGTGCTGGCTATCGGATGGACCTCGTCCGCGTGAAACTCCGAAGCCACGCTGCTCGGGTTGCTGTCCTTGAACGTGTCGCGCCACACTAACGCGTTGTCGAACGCGGCGCTTCGGTCAAACGCCGCACCTGGGTCTAGCCTTTGGTCGAAGGCCTGACTTTGGTTGAAGGCCTGACTTTGGTTGAAGGCCTGACTCCGGTCGGCTAGGCTGGACAGGGACTGACTGTCTGACGGGGGTGGGGTTCCCGGTAGGTGCGGAGCGGGCGAGACAAATCTGCCCCGGTAGCCAACCAAGGTTTCATCTTCAAGCTCCGGAGTCGGCTGGACCTTTGGGCTCGGCTGGACCTCGGAGCTCGCCTGGACTTGCGAATCCGCCTGGACCTCCTTTCGTGTGGGGTCCTGGGAATCGCCGACGGGGTCGTCGACGGGGTCTTCCTTCTCGTGGAGGAATGACTGGCAGCCGAAGCGGCCGGAAAGAACGGGGGAATCGCCTACGGGTCGTCGGACGACCAGGATCGGGTGCGAAGGCGGTTGCTGCGAGTTGCTGACCGAACTGCAACTCTGAAGTAACCGGAAATCACCTCGGCCAAGTGCCTCACGACCGAATTCCCTTTGTGTAAAGAGCGGTGTCAACCGCTCCGAGGGTGACCCCTGAGTCGCACAGGGCCCCGCACCCGCTTCCGGACTTCGAACCGCTTCGGGAGCCGCGGGCTTGTAATCCGGCGCGGGGTCTTCAGCAGTCGCCGGAGGATTTTTAGCTTCCAGAGATTCTTTTTCAGTCGCAGAAGGATCCTCAACCTCAACCCGGGGTCCAGAGTCCGGCTCAGAACGGCTGGGGGTCCGGGGCGCCTTCTCGGCGTACCACGGATCTGCGTAGAGTCGCCAGAATCCGCCGCTGGAATCCAAACCTCCGGAACCGAGCCCGTTGAGGTGGCTGGAATTCGCGGCCACGGAACTCACGGCGCTCCTGAGGGGCGGTGAGCGTGCCAAGACCGATAAGTTTAGTGGTGGCACCGCCACCCGACACGGTCGACAAACGCCGTCTGGTCGTAGGAGGAACTGGTCATTATTCGGTGCCGACTCATTTAGCGCCGACTCGTCGAATGGCCACTCGGCTGATGGTGACACGGCAGACGGCTCCATGGCAGATGGCGACTCGGCGGGTGGCAAACTTCCTCTTGGGTAATCTACCGAGTGTATTGACTGGCTCATCAATTCTAGACTATCTAAGCTAAGGGCGTGCCTGGTCGCCGAGCCTTCTTCTACGCAACCAAGACCGAGCCCGATGGTGGGACCGAGTCCAGTGGCGGGACCGAGTCCAGTGGTGGGACCGAGTCCAGTGGTGGGACCTAGTCCAGTGGCGTCCGCGGGCACGGCGAACTCGTGGCCCACACTCTCCTGGTCGGCAGCTTCCTCGGCGGGCGCTGCGTCTTCCGGCGGCCATGAGCACGACGCCGTCGCACACTCGTGCGGACTTTCGCGGACAGTCGAAGTCGGCGAGTAGAAACGCAACCCGTCCGCACCTCTCTGCGTCGCCGCTTCGCTCCTCGCCGTTTCACCAGGCCTCGAAGACGCGTCGCGCACAGTCGTCCAGAAGTCCGAATGTCGGAACGCGTGCGCACGCGCAGCTCCCGGCCTTTCCCGGCGCTCCACCTCAGCCAGACCGGCGGTCTCCAGAGCCCCAGGCTCTCGGCGGGCTGCGGACACACAGTCGCTGGCGTCACACCCTTCGGCCACTAACTTGCTGGCGCCAGTATCGTAGTGGTTAGACGCACACTCTTTAACCCCACAGTCGCTGGCGCTAGACTCGTTGACGGGTGCAACCTCGTTACCAGCGACGTCGGTTGCGTGCTGGATCTCTGCGGCGGAAGGAGTGCTGGAAGGAGCTGGTCGAAGTTGGGCATTCGTCGACGGTTCTGTGGTCGTCGTATCGACGCAGTCGCGTTTGACTGCTTCGCTGCGAACTTCTTCCAGGCGGTGGCCGGTGTCCTTTGGAGCGTCATTCGGAACCGTTCCTCTCAGACCGGCCACAGTCTCGCCCCGCGGTGCCTGGAGGTGTTTCGACAAGTCGATTCGCAAGTGTAGAGTGATGCTAAGCGGCTCCTCTCCTGCGGCGGCTGCCGCGCAGGTCGGTGCTTTGACCGCACGGGCGTCCGTGCACCCCGGGTTTCGAAGATCCACTATATGGCGAGAGTCTCGATATCTCCCGTGCTCTTTCGGCCTGCCATACTCCTTCGGCCTGCCGTACTCCTTCAGTCGCCCCTGCTCTCTCGCTCTTCCTTGATCCCTCGATCTCCCACGACGGTTCGCAGTTCCCCCAAGGAATGGGGATCCCAGTAATCCCCCACCCCGTTCTTCACGACCTCGACCCCGGCCTTCACGACCTCGACCCCGGTTTTCACGACCTCGACCCCGGTCTTCACGACCTCGACCCCGGTCTTCACGACCTCGACCCCGGTCTTCACGACCTCGACCCCGGTTTTCATGACCCCGACCCCGGTCTTCATGACCCCGACCCCGGTCTTCGCCATGGTCCTCATAACCTCGGTCTTCGCCATGGTCCTCATAACCTCGGTCTTCGCCATGGTCCTCATAACCTCGGTCCTCATAACCCCCGCCTTCAGAAGCACGGTCCTCATAACCCGGGTCTTCATCAACCAGATCGCGCGGAGTCAGCGCTCCAACATGGATCCCCACTCCGGACTGCAATCGTTCCCATTCCGCCGCAAGCTGTCGTTGAGTCTGCAGCTCGCGCAATCCAGCACGTTCGCCTCTGCTCTCATCCCGCCCAGATTCTTGGAGACCACCGACTTGGATCGTCTTCCGACCATTAGGAAGTACCAGTGTCGGAGTTAGCGGAATACGAGAAGTGTCCGGAGCGCCGCTACTGGATGTCTCAAAGAAGGTGCCGCTCCTTTCATAGCTACCGGAAATGCCACGCAGTATGTAAATGGTGTGTGCGAACGTGTTTGTGTATGAACGTCTGTGAACATCTGTGACAGTGCCATACTTGTTGGTAGCACCGTCAGCCGTTTCTCGTGCGGATTGCGCATCTGCTGACAATGTGCTGGTTGCAGTCACGAACTTTGCGCAAAACGGAATTCGGTAGACCGGACGTTGGTTCGATGATGGGAGTTCCTTCTGAAGAGGAAGGGAATCATCGGTCCCTTGCGGTAGAGACTGCCTGGAGACCATGGCTGCACCGGAGACGGTGGCCAAGGGGTCGAGCAAGTAGGTGGAACCGAGACAGCCCGGTGGCGAGTCTGAGGAAGAGCTTCCCGAGACGAGCTGCTTGGCTGAACCGAGTTGGTTAGGTCGCCAACCAACTTCTCGCGAGCAGCAGCCTTCTCTCGAGTAGTCTTCTCGTGGGGACGATGTATTTCTGGGCGACGCGCTGAGGGAGGAGACATGTGCCAATGACAGGTCAGGCTGGTCGCAGCGCCAGGACCCGGCTACCAAGCCCTCATAGGATGTTTCCCGACCTTCGGACCATAGCGGTTCATTTCGAGGCGGGGTCCCAGGGAAGTTGGCGTTAAGTCCCCGTTCTGGAGTCACGTCATCGGCCTGAGTTATTCCTTCGGTGCGGTAGTCCTGGTATATTGCCGCTCTCAGAGGATCCAGGAGGTCTATGGGTATTTCAATACCGTCAGACTCCTCTCGATTGTACTCCACCGGCCGGTCATACTGAACCGGTCGGTCATACTGAACCGGTCGGTCATACTGAACCGGTCGGTCATACTGAACCGGCCGGTCATACTCTGCTCGGTATAGTTGTGGTAGGTATGAGGTTTGCTGTGGCAGGATTGGGCCGATTTTGGGAGAGTCGGAGCGGGACTGAACATTTCGATTATTAAGGACGGGGCAGGTACGTGTTGCAGAGTGGTTCATTGGCTCCAAGGTGCTTTCATTCAGCGAGTCCCCAAGAAGAGGCGCTCGCCAGGCGTCATTGTTCCGTGGCTCGTGCAACGACCCAGCAATCGGAGATGCTGGTTGTGCGAATTTCATGGTAAAAAGAAAAAGCTCACTTCCTCGAACGCTTGGCGGGCGGTTCGCGTGTCTGAGCGCCACTGGTCAGCGGTTGACCAATGGGTAGTGTTTCGGTGAGAGCAGCTGAGTGGGCCATGACCTCTGGTTCGTTTGGTTGTGTCGCGTCAGTGGCAGTCATATAGTCCGGAAGAGCCAGAGGGGTACCCCCAGCATCTGCGCCCTCCTGTTCTGGCTCGATGGCCATCATGGTCTGATGTTCGAGTCTCTTTTGAATTCTAGCAAGGAGGAAGGTTTTTCGTTGTGGTTTATTGTAGACGCCTGGTGGTTTCTGAAGTACGTCAAAGGCGCCCGTCCCAACGGCCACTCGACTGCCGAGAATGATGGCTTCACTAACCCCCTTGACATGTTCCGATTTACGGTGTACGGCGGCTTCGAATAAGTGTTCATTTGTTTCTTCGAAGGAGGCGAGACAAAGGACGCTGGCGCGCATTTTTTGGATACCATGTCGCGAGATGCCGAGTACCTCTCCTCGGAAGGTCATGACGTCTCCGAGAAGGAGCATGTGCCGTATATCTATGTCCATGCTGTAGGCGTCCATGCAGCCTTTGATCTCCGAAATGATCACTTGTCGTGCGGCTTCAATACCGAGGACGTCCTTGACTTCCATGATACTATTGCACCCGACTCGGTTGCCATCGACACCTTCTACACCCATGATCTGGCGCAGTCCTTCCCCCTCAACAGCTAGTGAATATTCATTCAACTCTTCCTCACCATTTCCCTTCTCACCATTTCCCTTCTCACCATTTCCCTTAGACTTGGTTTGAACGATACACCTCCGGACTGTCTTCATTCCACATACAGACACATGGGGCAGACTATCCATGAGTGCTGTTAACTGGAAACTAAGCCCATTAACGCCCTCTCGTGTTCCTGGTGGTTTGACAATGAGTTTGTACTTGTGCACTATTTCAATTAATCCTTCACGCATCTTCAACTTACCTACCGTACCCTGTTCCAATATCTTAGCACACACACGTTCTGCATCCACCTCCAAAAAGTTATTCTGAATAGCATCTTTACTTAAACGAACAACTACCCAAGCTCCCTCAGGTGACAACACTTGCTTTACATACCGACATACCTGACCCAGAGAAACACATTGTAACTGCCCCTTAACCATTTGCGCGAATGAAAACGAATTCTTATTCAACGCTAATGGCACTGTCAGAATAGGCGTACCAATCTTCGATGCTGCATTAATAATCTCCTTAATACGCGGCACACCCAACGTAACATTCATACTAGCCACACCCGCAAAATGAAATGTCTTCAACGTCATCTGAGTACCCGGCTCACCTATCGATTGAGCACCAATCGCTCCTACCGCCTCACCTGGCTCAATCAATGCTCGGTTGTATTTCTGCCACAGCAACACACATAAATCATACACATTCTCCAATGTCACCCAACGAGATACTTTCCAACGCTCCTTCACTATCGTTCCATCAAACCTGCCCGCCAACGCCGTCTCCGCGCTCCCCTCCTTTTCATCATCCACCAAGAACATACTTCTCAACCCAGTCCCGACGACCTCTCCTCCCGTGGTAATAGCCACCTCTCCTCCCGTGGTAATAGCCACCTCTCCTACGGCGCGTCGTTGTTGATAATCCTGATGCATTTTCTTCGCGTGTCGATAATACCACAAACGACGTTGGAGCGGATGAATTTCCGCCACGCCGACTGCATCGGCTACGTCGACTGGCTCAGCTACGGCGACTGGGATAGGGTTGGAGGCGAAGTAGCTGCGGAGTCGAAGCCGGTCAACCGCGCAGTCTTCGCGGTAGACATTGACCACTGCTTCGTACTCCGCCTGATCGAGTGCCGGTACCTCCTGATTGTTTTCACGATCGGTCGCCAATTGCTGAGCCTGTTGTTGACACCAGCGCATCACCTCTTCGCCGAACACGCGAAGACGTGCGGTCTTGGGCTGATGTGTCGGTGCCTCTGAGCGGGCGGCATTTTCGCCCACAGTAACCGTGCTGGGTTCGATTTCGCGAGTGCGCGGTAGTAGCCATTGCATCCACTGTAGAAACTCGTATGGCAAGAGTGGCGCCAGGCGTTTGGCGGCCGGTAACTCCTTAATCACACACATCCACACGACTAAGTGATTTCGTATTTGCGCGAGTGCACGCTGCTCCCTCCTTGCCCATTCCGGCTGTCGCTCGTCGGGGGCGAAAACCGCCGTCGAGTCTACCCCATCGCCGCCGAGAGAACGTGCAATTTGTCGGGCCAGCGCGACTTTTTGCCTCAAGTGTCGGGGTAACTCGCTCAAGTCCTCGGCCGCGGGACGCGCCGCGAGGTATTGCTGCACACGCCGCATTAACGGTACATCTGAGACGGGCGGCAGAATTGCGTCTGGTGAGGCCGGTTTGACTGCGTCCGCTGCGCTTGTCAGCATTTGGTCGTGCAGCCCGTGCTTTGCTCCGGCACAGGGATTCAGGTCGTGACTTGAATGAGCCACCAATTGTGGGTCGTTAACATGAGGACGTGTATTCAAACCCTGGCGTGGGTGGTTGGGATCTGGTCGTCGGTTGGGATCTAGTCGTCGGTTGCGTAGTTCCTGTTGGCTGAGGGCATTAAGTAGATCGGGTTTCAGGCGTTTTAGTGTCCGAACATGTAAGAAGGCGGCGGTCAGGTCGACGAGATCGGTTTTTTTTTCCATGAGTTGTGGGTTCAATCCGTCATCTCCGTAAACAAACTGGACGACCTGTCCGTCGGAAGTGCGTACGGTACGATCGTACTTGACGCTGAGATCTTCGAGTGCCTTAACTAGACGGCGTTGCATGTAGCCTGTATCTGCGGTTTTTACGGCTGTGTCTACAAGTCCTTCTCTACCTGACATGGTATGGAAGAAAAACTCATCAGGACTAAGACCAGTATAGAAGCTGTTTGCAACAAAGCCCTTAGCCTTGGGTGAGCGTACCTGTTTGGGGGCATAGTGAGGTAAAGTTCGTTTTACGAAGCCATCCCAGATTCGCTTACCATTCACATTCTGTTGACCTACTAAGCAAATCATTTGTGCCATATTAATAAGTGCACCTTTGGCACCTGATAGGAACATGACTAATGGTTTATTCAGTGGTTGTAATTTGGCAACGGATAATTCCCCTCCTTTAGTACGTAGATCATCTAATACTGCCTTGGAGCGATTTTCAAGTGTTTGTTCTAGTGTACAACCGGAATCAGGTAACATACGACCGGTTCTATGTGCCTCAACTAAGGCATCTACTCTTCCAAAACCATCCTTTAACATTTCCTCTTTCAATTGGGTGATCACCGCGGTCGGGGTTACGTCATCTATGCCAATGGTCATACCACGATTGGCGAACCACCGGCCTGTTAACTTCGCAACCCGACCCATTATTTCCGCGGCAACGGCGGCAGTATTATCTCGAATAAGATGAAAGAACAGACCTTCCTTAGAGCCACCACCTAGAACTTTTTTACCAAGCGCACCACACATAATTTCAGAGTGTTGAATAATGACATAACCATCATGTCTGCACATGAAAGCGGGTGTAATAAACTCTTGTTCACGACCATTTTTGGGTTTCTCGAAATCACGCTCCTTAAGCTCAAAATTAACCACGACTTTTGCCTTACGATTTGGTCGTAATAATAAATTATAAAGTTGCTTACCACTCCACAATTCCATAGGCTTAAGAATACAAGGTGGTGGCATATCGATATGAAGTAAACCATCGCTAAAATATCCACAATATAAGGTAAATTTATCTCGCGGTAAGAATACATCTTTATGTGTAATCATCCAAGAACCTGATAAGAAATCTTGAGTAGCTGCGATGAGTGGTTCCCCATTCTTGGGTGTAGTTAGATTGTTGGTAACACCCATCAGATGTAATGCTTCAGCTTTAGCTTCAAGTGTTTGTGGTAGATGACAATTCATTTCATCACCATCAAAATCAGCATTGTAAGGTGAGCACACACACTCATTAAAACGAAGTGTTCTCCAGGGCATAACACGTGCGCGATGTGCCATAATACTCATTCGATGTAGTGATGGTTGTCTATTAAATAGCACCATATCATCTTCCCATAGATGTCGTTCAACTAAGTCTCCAAATTGTAATGAAGCTGCTACCTGTCGTCGATTTACAAATTTCAATGACGTACGGAAATCCTCACCCTTACGTGTAATTGATAATGCTCCCGGCCACTCATCAGGACCACGTAATACACAGGAACGTAATCTGTCAAGATTGTAAGGTGCTACACGTTCAGGGAATGTTAGACGCATAGCACTCCATTGTGGTACTACCACACACGGAATTGGACAATTCGGGTCCGGAGAAATGACAGTACGTCCACTAAAGTCCACACGCTTACCAGACAAATTACACCTGAATCTACCTTCTTTTCCTTTTAAACGCTGAGCCACACCACGACCTACTTTCGCACTACCACCACCACCACTACCACCAAAACCGTTGAGAGAGTTTAATGCCGCTTCCAATTGAGGATAATCAGTATTTATGAATCGCACCGCATTCAGCTGCAATGCCTCCATCTGAGAAACAACTCCCGGCAATTGAAATCCTGACTCTGCCGCTTCCTCGATCTGGTTCGATAATTGAACAATATCTTTTACCGTCGCTGTCAGGTCATCCTCATTTGTACCCGCATCACCCAGTGTGATGGACGGTCGGATCGATGACGGTGGAACTGGGAATACGGTGATGAGCAAATTTTCTGGCTTCGACACGAATAAAACCTCACGATCAATTAATGGAATTTTAGAGAAAATTCGATACACTGAAGAGGCATCGAGATCCTCAATTATCTTCGATATCTTCCCATCAGCCTCCTTCACCTTAATTTCATGCTGTAACTTCATAAATTTGTCCGCAGTACCCTGATTAATTCGACGCAACATACCTTGATTACCGTCACAGTAACAACATCGATCCACCTTCTTGCTCGCTTCAACCAACGCCTTGAAGACCCTCATCTTATTTATATTGTCGCTTGCATTACGCCTCATCCGCCGTCGAAACATTTCTTTCTCTTCTCCAATGACTAATAACTTACTACAATTCTTACACACGCAATACAATATCAATAATGCGTGCTTGAAGAAACCCGGATGGAATATAGGAAACGGCAACTTCACATACCCCCAATGACCCACACACTCATCCCAACCGCCATTACAAGTCTGACAACGACCAACATTTTTATCTCGATCCGCCCGATTAGCACCCATATGTAAATCCATGGGACCAAATGGTAAAGGCTTCATAGTACCTGTTGTTGACTGCTGATAGAATCCCGGATGCGTCACACGAACCGCGGAATACTTCACAATATCATTCGCCGACAATATATCAAACGTTAACTCATCAATCTTCCAACCCACTTTTGTCTCTCGAACCACATCCTTCAATACAAATTGCTCCGCCAAATCCATGGCTTGTTAATGGTTTTCAGGCAGGAAGGGTTTTAGTAGGGCAAAAATCAAAATCGGATGGTAAAGGTAGGTCGGATGGTAAAGATAGGTTGGATGGTAAAGATAGGTCGGATGGTAAAGATAGATTGACTCATTTGTGGCTAGCCAGGGAAATGGTTCAAGGTGCAAGTGGTTAGGTGTGAGGTGAGGTAAGGTTCTAAGTTTGTGTTGGGTCATGGAAAAAGGTGTTGTGAAATTATAATTCCAAAATGCAAGATCAAGGGTGGTGGCGGCAGTTATCTTCACCAATTCATTTGAATGGATCGGAGATGATAGTATTAAGGCCGCGGTATGTCTTTGGCGTACTGTTGTCGCTGTGTTTTGGTTGGTTGTTATTCCAGGTATCATTTTTGGATGATGGAGAAGATCTAAGACGTCGTCTGGCGGTAGTTACTGAGGAGGGAATGGATCCGATTGCTAGTGAGCATATACCTGCATCATTATTATGGAGAAATCCGAAGATGCTGACGCACACACATAGGGCGGGTGAACCTGGTGTAGGTTACCATGAAATGGTATTACCAGACTCTTTGATTGAGGTTGTTGATGGTCCGGAGGAAGGGGTGGATGAGGGGGTTGAGGAACAGAGTGATGCAGTGCACAAGGATGATATCATGCGTGTGCCAGGTGAGAAGGAAGAATTTGATTTTGCACCTGATCGACTTTCACCTAGACTAGGTTTAGGTCGCAAGGTTGTGGGTGAGATGACGGAGACATATGGTTTTAGTAAGGACGAGGAATTTTCCATGATTTGGGAATACGGTATGGAAGATAAGTTGGTTGGTTATGTTGGTAATAAGGAGTTCATGAAGCAATTCCCTAAAGGATCACGTGGATACCTTAACTCATTGGCTGTTTTCCCTTATGCAGCTAACAAGGGTTTCCGTCGTTACCATGGTCGTGTAGGTGTATATCCCAATGGTACTCAAGCATGGGTCCCACAGGAAATGCCTCCGCCTATCGATTCTGTTAACAAGACCGCGGCACTCAAGAGGGGCGGTTTTTATCTCGATTTATCGAACGCTCTAGAACTTGATAGACAACCGAAGGATCATCGTTCAAGTGTGTGCAAGACTACTGGTTGGGATTATGAAAGTATGGGTGATGCATCAGTAGTCATTACCTTCTACAACGAACCACTTAGCACACTTTTACGGACAGTACATAGTGTGCTAAATAATACACCTCCACCATTACTGAGAGAGATTATATTGGTAGATGATCATAGCGCACTTCCGGAGGACCTACCGGGTGAAGACTTATACGAATATATCAAATTATTACCAAAGACCAAATTATTAAGATTACCGGAACGTCGAGGACTTGTATGGGCAAGATTAGCGGGTGCTCACGCAGCTCAAGGTAAAGTTTTGGTTGTGCTAGATTCACATGTAGAAGTGAATCCAGGTTGGTTAGAGCCTCAATTGGAGAGGATATCTGAGAGTCCTAAGTCGATTGTATTTCCCCAAATTTTATCTTTGGATTCCGAGAATTTTGAGTATAAGAAAGAAAGTGGAATCGGATGTTGGTTATCATGGAAATGGAATATGGTGGAGCAAGCATCCTTAACTGGTGAACTTAAGGATGATGCACCGATTCCTTCTGCGTCTATGGCAGGTGGTTTATTTGCTGTGGATTTATCATGGTTCTGGGAATTAGGTGGATATGATGAGGACTTTGCTATGTGGGGTAGTGAGAATGTTGAGATGGGTTTTCGAACATGGATGTGTGGTGGTAGATTGGAGTGTACACCATGCGCACTTACTTATCATATATATCGTAATGGTGGAGTAGGTTATAGTTCACCTGATAAATCTGTTTGGTTGAATAAGTTAAGAACAGCACGATTATGGATGGATGAACATTTTCTCATCGCCAAGGAATTCATTGATACTAAGGTATCTATAGGGAATGTGGATAAGATTCTGGAGCTTAAAGAACGATTAAAATGCAAACCATTTTCTTGGTTCTTAAAAAATGTGGATCCTACACATGAAATTCAGAGTCTTGAAGACGTACAAATTCTTGGTGAAATTCGCACTATCCAAAAACATAAAGGAGGAATTCAATGTCTTGATCTACTAGGCAATAAGGTCGGTGAACCATTCGGTGTGTTCGGGTGTCATAAACAAGGTGGTAATCAACGCTGGCTTAAAGATCGAAAGGGAAAACAAATAATATCTGCTCTAGATGATAGTAGATGTCTAGGTCGAGATAAAGAAGGTAATGCTAAACTTTACTATTGCTCCGAAGAAAGATATTCCGAAAATTGGATTTATAATAATAATACACAACATTTCGAACACCATGATGAAGATTATGGTGTTACATGTCTTGCCATCGATAAAGAACCTACTGTTGTTAAGTTCCTTGAGTGTGATGATAATGATTTAAATCAACTTTGGGAATTTGACATCTGGATTAAACCAGAATATGAACCTTTAGATTATTCTGACTCATACAAAAAACAACATTTTTCGTTACCTTGAACTTGAACCCACCATCTTGAACTCATTACCTTGAACCTATCATCTCTGATATGTCTGTTGGGTAGGACGCAATGTCTGATATGTCTGTTGGGTAGGACGCAATGTCTGATATGTCTGTTGGGTAGGACGCAATGTCTGATATGTCTGTTGGGTAGGACGCAATGTCTGATATGTCTGTTGGGTAGGACGCAATGTCTGATATGTCTGTTGGGTAGGACGCAATGTCCTAGTAATCAATTTTTAGAAACTTTTCCTTTCTGTGTATATGAGTCGAACGGCCGCCAGCGTAGCGTTGGCGTATCGGCATACTCGTCCTTTGGTTCTGGTGCCGGGGGTTGGTTGTCATCTGAGTCATCACGGAAGGGATCATTACCTTGTTAACGACGACAACTGTGTTGTAGCTGATCGTCGTCATAACAAAGGTCTGAAACTAAATTACAGTTACACTACTCTCGACCTGTCTTTGGACTCCTCTTTGGACCGTTGTGGAAACGAGCGTCCGTCGTTGCAAGTGGATCCATTTAATAAGGGACTAATTTTGAGTAATCCGGATGGGCTGTTATCTCGATATTCTCTGACGTTAGAAGAACACTGCAATGCCCCGATTCGCGATGGGAAAGAAGGAAGCAAGGAAGACCAGGGCAGGGAGCAGGGGAGGGAGAAAGGTAGGGAGAATGTTATTACAGAAGAGAAGGATGGCTTGCGAGCGAAGTTGGGTGGGTTCCAGAATTCTGCGAAGAGACGAGCCAAGTCGGTGTTGGGTTCGACTTTGGAACGTGTAAGCCCGTTGGGTAACAAGGTGTCGAAGGCCGTACGGAAGCCGAAGGCATTTGTGGGTGAGGAGCTCGGTGAGCATGCAGGAGAGTGCGTGGGTGACCGTGTCAGCGACGTAGCTTCCAGTATACTGTCTCGTGTTAAAAAGAGTAGCGTACCCGGTAAGGTTGCGTCTGCCGTTGCGTCTAATTACGTCGGTGAGAAGGCAGAAGATGCGGCAGATGACGGTGTAAGTACGGTAGTTACTAGCACAGTTGAGGCGGCATCCTCTGTGGTCACCAGCGTCCTTGGCTGCAGGACTGATCGGAACAACTTTGATGAGACAAGAGGACGCTCAGGACAGCCGCGGATAACCTATAAGTTGATGAAGGCCTTCCTCACTTGGGATAGTCTCCATGTCATTGGCCGCAAAGACCAAGGATTTAAACGACCAGACGCGGAAGCACATTTTGTTTTTGGAGACCGAAAGCCTCGAGCTGTTCTCGGGTTCATGTTTACCCAAGGCGCAGAGGAGGAAGAGGAATTACCCTTCATCAACTGGCTCTTTGGCGAAGACCGATTCGTCTCTCAAGTCGAGAGACAGATGACCAACTCTACTGTCGCTTCGACTGAAGACGAGCTCACACCGAGAAAAAAACGGACATTACGGGGAACGAGCAATGACGAGAGTGAACGGGAAATAAGCAATGAGGATAGGGAACGGGATAGGGGACGGGATAGGGGACGAGGATATAGGGGACGACAAGGGGAAAAGAGTGAGAAGAGACAGCAGTCGCGCGGACTGTTGTTTAAAGAGCGGTCAATCAGCAAGAAGTTATCCCGACAATTATCGGGAGAGCAGCGCACACGTGTGTGGCGCAATTTAGAGTCTTGGACGGTACCTTTTGAACAAGACAACCTGTTTAGTTTGCTGGACCCCAAGTGGACCTTTGTCCACTATCGCAGTCCGCTGTACGCCGGCGTCCAAGTTCCACTCATCGACTGGTACGTTGCGGATGTTCGCGTGTCCCCAGAACAACTACGCCTGCTTGTGAAGCCGAGTACATCTGGACGAGCACCCGACATCAACGCCAGCGTGCCTATGGGGATTGCGCATGTCAATTGCTACGTGCCTGCAAAATGCAATTAACGAACAAACAATCGAACGAACAAACGGGAAAGCAACTTGGTTCTCAGGAGATGAACCTTGCAGGACCACATGCGAAGATGCTTCGCAAGCACATGCAGGCTTAAGCGATGGTCGGTCTAGTACTACTGAGGGACTACTTGTGTAGTGAGGGACCAGGGATTACTTGTGTAGTGAGGGACCAGGGACTACTTGTATAGTGAGGGACCAGGGACTACTTGTATAGTGAGGGACCAAAGACTACTTGTATAGTGAAGGACCAAAGACTACTTGTACAGTGAGGGACCAGGGGCTACTTGTATAGTGAGGGACGTGTACTTTTTTGTATGATAAAAAGGGGACCGTTTGATTAGTATAGTGAAGGAGCCTATCTTCAAAACAAGTCTGGCAAAACAAGTCCCGACCAGGTCCGGGTCAGGGTTAAACCAACCTGGCCTTTTTGTGGACACCCTTCCACAGCGCGTGTGGGACACTCTTCTGCAGGGAGTGTTGGCCAGAGAGGTGTAAGTTATTTGGTCGCTAAAAAATTGAATAGAGAGTTCATGAGATAGTCTTCTCCTTCACCTTCAGCATCTTGTATGACAGGTCGTCGTGATGATTGATTGCGCAGAAACTTGCGCACGAAGCTGATGCGTGTATCCAATGGTTGTAATGGACTTTCGTTTTCGATTGCGAGACCAGGTTGCTCGGAAATTTTGATTAATTCATCCAAGTGTACTTGCATCATTTTGTTATCATGTGAGACATATTGAGCACACTTCATTTTGATATAGAGCACGCGGACAACACGGACCCATCGATGGTCTTTCAGAATTAGGTCCCAGTAACGTTTGGCTGATAATTGAAGTTCCTTCAAAATCAAACGCTTGGCCGTTAACTGAGCCTTCAACCTTGGCCACCAGGGAATGCTCCATGACCAGTCAATTTCCCTCCAGTCCAACGCGAAAATGTCAGCCAGCTCGTCGTTAGCCGGGCGGGCATTAGGTGGATTCGTGCCTGCGACCTTCGGGTCATTAGATCGGTTAGTTTGTCGGACGTGCGCTTTATAGTTGAGAATGGTTTGTTTAGCAAGGCTCCATAGGTAGCGGATAACGGCTCTTTGTCTGACGGCGGTGGGTAGTTTAGCACGTCGAGCGCAGATGCTGTACCAGCGTTCGACAAGTGCCTGTGGCGTGCGGATTGGTGCGCCTTCTTTGTATGGGAATTTGTGGCTTAGGGCGGTCCATGGAATTTGATGCAAGGCAGTTTTGGATCCGGTGGCTTCCTCAATCAGTTGGCAAAGGAAGTCTGATTCTTCATCGGTCCATAGATTCCGTTTTCGTGCAGCGCCTCCACGACTACCGAAGAGTGAGCCATTATGATGTTTAGCCCATTTGGGGAAGATTTCACAGACATCGGTGTCGAGAGTGAGAGCAGGCCGTAGTTCGTCGCCGTCCAAAACGTGCTCCAGGACTCCCGACTCAAGAGCAGCTTCCACATACCCACTACTATCCATTAATCGGTATGTATCACAACATTGTCGAGGTGATCGACCCAACTTAGCACTCACACTCAACCAGTTCAACCGTTGACCCTGTCGTATCCGATCACGATTATACTCTTGTACTAAACCGATGAGATGTAACTTCTCAACCTCAGTCCATGAACTGTGTGTGCGTGACCACACGTATAAACTCGCCTTCAGTCTCTGCACAATCGATGGTGCCTGCCTCTCAGGCAAAACACCCAACACTGCTGGCCAATGCTCAGACTTACGCGAAAACAATAATTCCTTCAGGAAACGCTGCACTCCTTCCAAACTTTTCAACCTCTCCACACGACCACGCAAACGTGAAGCGTGACCAGCAGGACCTAATATATCGATTTGTTTAGTACTTCGTAAACACACCCCCCCATCACTCGCCTCAACCCCCGTCTTGAAAGACTTCGCCGGTCGATTCATTAATTCCGAACTCGACGGGACTACCAGTCCCGACGATCGGGTGGCCACCGGAGTCAGGTCCTTGTCACTCTTGGCCAGCTCCTTGTCTCCGACCTCCAGCTCCTTGTCTCCGACCTCCAGCTCCTTGTCTCCGACCTCCAGCTCCCTGTCTCCGACATGCAGCTCCTTGTCTCCGACCTCCTGGAGATTATCTGCTTCGTCGAGGAAGAAAATCGAAGCACTCACAGGCGGCAAGCCGTCTCCATGGGCAGGGGCTTCAGCTTTGCCCGCCAGCGAATATCCTGCCGAGCTGTCTGCTGAGTCGCCCCTCGGCGTCTCCGTCAATAACCCCTGGACGAGCGAGCTCGTCTTATATTCGTCGCTAGCACCCCCGCTGGACGTGTCTGAAGCAGCCGTTAAAGGCGTATTCGCGTCCTGCGTGTCCGCGTCCTGCGTATCAGGAGCTTGGGTCTCCTGCGTATCGCCTAGCCCTGACTTCGGCTTCGCTTCTAAATCCGGTCCTGGTCCTGATTCCGGTCCTGGTCCTGATTCCGGTCCTGGTCCTGATTTCGGTCCTGGTCCTGATTCCGGTCCCGATTCCACTTGTACTTGTACGTCCATCTCGACATCCATGAGCTCCCAGTCTTCGGGGCTACGATCCAAAACGTCTTGGCTCGCATTCATGTACTCTGCGAGTTGATGCTCGTAGAGGTCGTCACGGTCGGGCTCGTCACGGTCGGCCTCGTCACCGTCGGGCTCGTTGCGTTCGGGATCGGCAACTCCGTACTCATCTATATTCAGCTGCTGGATGTAACCTTCACGATGTGCCAACTCTGCAATCTTGGACAGCAACAAGTAATCCTCCTCCAACGTAAATCTACCCCTCACAGGCTCCACCACCATCGCCTCCTTCCACCGCCGGCTGGCGACGCTCTTCACCCTGCGACGCACCTCCAAACCCCCGTGCATGGCATTAAAAAATCGACCCGCCTCGACCGTGAGTTTACTGTCGGTCGTCATAAGCTTGGCACATATTCCACCCCC